TCGGGTGCCCCCGGTGGGGTGAGCCCGCCTGGCGCTGGGAGGCGGTGGTGTGCGCAGCGCTAGCGGTGCCGGCGCATTCCCGGGACCCCGCTGTGTGACAGCAGCCGCCGCCTCGTGGTCTCACCCTGCCCCTGGGCTTGCTGCGAGGTTTGTGAGCCGCTCGCCCCGTGGAGTAACAGCAAAAGCTGTTGTATTGCTGATCTCCGCGTCATTTCTGCACCAGGCAAAGGCTGTTTCTTCATCCAGCCCTGCAAGAAACCGAGATTAACCTTCATAGAATCATAGAATAGTTTGGGTTGGAAGGGACCTCTAAAGGTCATCTAGTCCAGCCCCCCTGCCGTGGGCAGGGACATCTTCAACTAGATAAGGTTGCTCAGAGCCCCGTCCAACCTGACCTGGAATGTTTCCAGGGATGGGGCATCCACCACCTCTCTGGGCAACCAGTGCCAGTGTTTCACCACCCTCAGCGTAGAAAATTTCTTCCTTATATCTAGTCTAAATCTACCCCCCTTTAGTTTAAAGCCATTCCCCCTTGTCCTGTCGCAACAGGCCCTGCTAAAAAGTCTGCTGCCATCTTTTTTATAAGCCCTCTTGAAATACTGCTGGGCTGCAGTAAGGTCTCCCCGAAGCCTTCTCTTCTCTAGGCTGAACAACCCCAACTCTCTCAGCCTTTCCTCATAGGAGAGGTGTTCCATCCCCCTGGTCATTTTCGTGGCCCTCTTCTGGACCCGCTTCAACAAGTCCGTGTCTTTCTTGTGCTGAGGGCTCCAGAGCTGGACGCAGTGCTCCAGGTGGGGTCTCACCAGAGCAGAGTAGAGGGGCAGAATCCCCTCCCTCGACCTGCTGGCCACGCTTATTTTCCTTCCCATTAAATAAGTGTGTTTCTGTGTTGGAGGGTGCAAAAGCCTGTGACCCCCTGGTTAGTCAGAGCAACTCTGCCACCTTCCTGCCACGCTTTGTTTCCTTTGCCCCATACATCTGGCCAGATCCTAAACACTGCTTTCTTCAGGATCCTCAGCCAAGCTTTGCTCCTAGGGCTCAGAGGAACATGCCTGGAAATCTCCACCACTGCTACAGGGGGGAAACAGAGCCGGTTTATGGCGGAGCTGTGAGGCAGACTGACGGAGGCTGTGGACACTCAGATCTCCCGAGTTGCGTGACCTTATCCTTACAAATGCCAGTGATGCACTGTGGCCAATGGTCCAGAGGTTTTAAAATGTCACTGTCTTTGTACAGCACTGAATACACCAGCGTGCTTTGGGGGCGTGAGGACAGTCACTTCCTCCCGCCTTCTCATGTTATAACAGCTACCATTAAAGCATGCTGTAAGCTATTACTTCAGAGCCACGAAGAGGAAGAAAAGCATTTGAACTGAAAAGTGGGCCATGGGGCAATCAGTTTCACAGCCTTTATTCTCTTCTTTATTGTGGAAAGCCCTCACAAGAACTACACCTTCTCTTTTGGATGGCCCTGCACGTCTAACCATGCTCCCACTTGTAGAGAACTGACCCGGTGCGGAGCTGTAGTCACTGCACTAAATTACTAAATTTACTAATTACTAAAACTACAGATCGCAAAGGCTCAGGTTCAGTTCCCGTCTTTCCCATCAGTAACAGACAAGCAAGGGCAAAATCACCTTTTCAGGCCCTCTGAGTCCTAACAAACCTTCACCAGGTTTCTGCTAAATGCCTTTCTGAGCATGAGGTCACCCCTGGGTAGGGGAAAAAATTGCAGCGTTGGCTGGTAAAGCCAAACAAAGGATGCAAAGCACAGGGAGGAAAGCCCACAGGTCTGGGAGAAAGCATAGCTGTGTGAAGGTAAGAAAGACCCAGCTCCAGGCAGGGTTCAGGAGCTGCCCAAAGCCAGCAGAGGCAGTCCTGGGGTCTGGGCCCGTGGTATGGCTCCAGGGCCACCACTTGGGCTTGGGGGAACAGGAATGCAGGGATACTCATGATCCAGGAGGCTCTGCTGAGAGGGACTAAACCTGGGGATAAAGCTCTTCCCATCCTTCCTGCTTGGCTGGTGTCAGATCCTGACTCTGGGAAACAGAGATACTTCATGGCCTCTTGCTAAATTGTGCCCATCTAGAGCTAGTTTCCAGGCTTGCCCTCATTTATTTTCAGAGCATATCTACATTGAGTCAGTACATCTTTTATTTGGGCTAACCCAGTTTCTGTGTCTTTGCCTTTCCTGAAGATCACTGGGGAAGTAGCCCTTCTCTGCATGCCAAAAGGAGCACTCTCCTTCCCCACTTCAAAAATAGCACATTCAATTCCTCCTGGGGAAAGAGTAATTCTCTTCTCCCACCCTCTTGCCCAATTGCTTGTGATACCAGGTCGATGGTTTGATTTCCAACTCTACATGCAAAGCCACTCAGCCTGTCGTTACCAAAATCATGTTTTTAAAGCAAGATGACGTTTCTAGAAAGAAAAGATCTCTGCAGGGAAAATTGACTCTGGCATCAAATTTGCAGCTAATTTTCTTCCTCCCTGTGCCTTGTGCAGGTAAAGACAGAAAATGCAGCATTGTTATTGGGGGCTACCCACCCCATGACGCCCATGGGCACTGCAGATCCTCTCTGAAGCCAGGGCAGGTTCCCAGTTGTTCTATGATCTACAGCAAGTGTAACCCGAAAGGCTGCCACTGCACTATCCTCTTGCTTCCCACGGGAAAACTGGACAAACCCTTCCATCGGGGACGCTTCAAGCACCTGCTTGACTCAGCCAGCTGAAAAATACCAGGGAGAGAAGCGCTTATCTCCGTTTGCCCGCTACTAGAGGTCATGGCCTGTATTAAACACATCTTTCTGACAGCATGCAAAGACAGCCAGGGAGGAGCTGGCCTAAGCAGGGAAAGTTTTGACTGTCAAAAGGCCTATCACAAAATACGCAAAGCAGCAGGAGCTGAGTGCCTCCCCAAGGTAATGAAGAGGGGGAGAAAAGTCATGCAGCACTAGACAAACTTTCATGAGCTCCTGTAGGTGGTGAATGAAGCTAAGCCAGAAAAAACATGATGAACAGCATGCTGGCACAAAGACGTCCCCAGTGCTGCTCGGAAGTTGTCCAAGGAGCAAAGCTCTGGTGCTTTCCCACGAACCTTACTTTTTATCCTACGATACCTGCACAGGTGTGCAAATCTGTGAGTAACTTCAAACAGCCAGGGATGGCGTCTCTTGGCTTCTTCAACACATTCACCACAGTTAAAGCTGCCAGTTGTGAGATACTTTCTGGGGAAAGGGAAGATTTTGTTTCTCAGAAAATGCAGCTTTTGCTACAGAGCTAGATGATCCCTTGTCTTCCCATCTGCTTAGGCAGAAGAGATGTGTTTCTCCAAACAGGACTTCCTCACTTCCTCTTCATTTACTTGTCAGCATAATACAAGTCCATTAAACATGAGCACTAGCACGCGGGATGCTGGTTTTGGAGCCATTTCCTATTTGTCGGAGCTTAAAAATATTCAGAAACCACCCCAAGCCCCTCTCCTAGCTGCTATCAGCTGGGCCTGAGAGGCAGGTGGCTGTAAAATTGCCAGCAATGCTATAAAGCATTTTGTTTAAAAAAAAAGAAAAATAAATTAATCCCATTTCAGTGGATTCCATTATATACCAGAATTACATTTGGAGCTACTAAATAGTGGCCCTGGAAAGTCCTATTGATTGGATTTAATTATTCAGCTGAAGTCTGAGGTGCCTCCACTTTACTGAGCCCTGCAGCTGCATCATTAATAAGATTTCTATCTAAAGCACTTCCCTCCTGGGTCAGGTAAAAGACACTGCGTTACCAACAGTATTTTAGAGCCTGACTCTGGGCTTTGCAAGACAAGAGGTGCAAATGTAATCAGCCACTTGTGACAGGACGTGAACCTAAATCAGCTCAACAGAAGCATCAAGCCACTGCGGCAAGTGGATGCGGGGAGCACTGTGGGCCACTGCAAAGCTCGTGGGCTCTGGCACCAGCACTGAGTGAGGCTGGTATCCCCTCGGGACAGTCCTTGCCCTCCACACTACCAGACACACAGCCCAGATGGTAAAAAACTCAGGTTCCCGCTTCAGCAGCAATTGAAGAAGCCATGTTTCCAAGGGCTCGGTGGCTGGCCTGGGTACAAGCAATGGGTTGACTGAACGCTTTCAAAGATCTCCCCTATGTTCCTCCTGGACCTTAAGGAGAAATCCTGTAAGGATGAGGAAATTTTGCCCAGAACTGCACTCCCCACGCTCTTTTGCCCACCGTTTCTGCAGGAATGATATGAATCTACCCCAAGGCACACCAAGCCATATACAAATGGTGATGGCAGCACTTGAAGGGATCCTGGACATGCTTTGGGCAGGGGAAAGAGAAGGGTTGGGGTGGACAGCACTGCTGCTTGCCTCGTCTCTCTGGAGGGGAGCAGTGCTTGCTGTACATGTGGGGCAGGAAGGTGGAGGCTTGGGGAAATAGGGGGCTGCAGTGGGATAGGGACCCCCACTCAAAGGTGGGGGTCTGAAGAGGTGCATCCCCAGAACCACTTGGCATCACACCCTGTGAAACCCAGGGCCAGGCCCTACTTCCCCATGGTGTTGAGAAAGAGTGGAACGCACCTCACTCAAAAGAGAGAAGCAGCAATATGTTTTATTTAGGTAGAATAATAATTTGACAGAGTTCAATAAATTCGATGGAATTTAACAAAGTTTGAGTGGTTTACCAAGGTTCAAGAAGTTTGATGGCAAGGTTCACTTTATTAATTACTGCATGGAAGAAACATACAAAGGAAAATTGAGTTAGAATTGAGTTAGAATGATTCACAGAGAGACCAGAGACGAAAAGGGTAAGGAAGACCCTCCTGTTGAGTCACGAGGTTCAGAGTGGACCCCCT